TAATGTTTCTGGTCTGGATGGAGTCATGGGACGGAAACTGAGGGGAGGGACATCAACTCCTCATTGCAATATTTACTTTAGGACAAATGGTTAATGGTTGATCGCTTAATAAAAGAATTGTCAACTTATTTGGTAAGACTTTAGATTATAGATCTTGCCATTTACAATTAATGTACCTATATACACACACAAAAAAATTTTTTTTGTTTTTATTCTAAATGTTTAAATTTACTAAAAGTATATCATTTTGGGCCATTAATAAAGTAAAACAATAATCGACAGATTTATCAAGAGCTGTAGCCCTACTTTACTGCAAATACCAGCTGTTTACTTTTAATACGAGCCTAATTAGAAGTAAGCAATCAAAAAATAATGATAAATAAACATTATTAATAAGACCATTAAAACTGTGAGCAATCAATTGTTTATGAGATTTTGAACCTAAAGCATTTTACTGGAAGGTTTTCCTTCCTAATAATTTTCCTCTTGGTCGATGCTCAGCTGTCATCTATCAAATTTGCCCTGCTATCATTCTCAATACCCTCAGCTGACCTCTTAAGGCCAATTTATTCTTCTGACGCATAGCCTCTGCAACCGTCAAATCTGTCTCTCTGCGCGACCATGTCCTCAGCGCAGAGGCTCTGCAATCCTGACTACACGTCAGACGGTCGCAAACCCGTGCAGACCTCAAGCGGAGGTGCGCAGAGCAAAAGCAGCTCTGACTGGTCCTTGGTATGCCTTTCCGGCTGTCTGTGTGGTCGTCCTTCTCGATTCAGCGCCGGGGCGTGCCATTTTTAAAAACAGAGGAACATCTACAATGGACAACTACGACCAAAGTTTAATCGAGGAGGTTCGGAAGTACAACCACTTGTATGATGCCTCAGACAATTATTTAAAGACGCCAAGGTCTCTGCCAGCTCAGCCAGAACCTGTTCCTCTTCAATGTCTAGCAACTCTAGATCCATCTCCATGACCATGATATCTTACAGACGTGTCATTGTCCTTTTGGAAGATAAACACACCCACTGGCGCCGCCAAAGTTCTTGTGACCGTCTGCCGAAGTTCTTGCAAGTTCTTCAACAGGCTCCCCCTTGCGCTTTGGCAGGAAACTGCTGTGCGTCCCTAGAAATTCCAGACCGACGGTGCAGAAGCATACCAGCAAAACTGGTTCGCGACAAGAACCAAGCGACATTTGATGTGTGCGGTTGCAGAAGTCTAATCTGCCCTTTAGAGTTTGCTCATAAAGATTTAATCAATCCAGCCTTTTTTTTCTCCTTTTATAATGTTANTGATTGGTTGACGCTCAGCATCCAGCTGCAAAATGTCAGATTTCCAAACTCCAGCATCCTCTGGAAGCTCAAAACTCGCCACTCGTCTTAGCCGTATCCCATAGACTAGGCGTCTGAACCAAACGCTGCTTATAACGCATTCAGTGTGAATGCACCGAATGCATTATGCGTTAGGCGTTAGTGTAACCTTTTTTCCAGACAGCTTTAGTAAGCTGCTCTAAGTGCTAACAAAGATGCACTGCAAACCCAGAAACAACAAGCTATTAGAGATACGATTAAACGTACCGTCTTTCTGCTCTCCACCGGTTTAGGAGGCGCAGCTTTTTCTCCATGGAAAACAGCATTCCAAGATGGCACCAAAGTCGGAGGCTTGGTTTCTATTGTGGTAGAAGGAAGAATATTGCAGGTCACAGAACACAGACACAACAAATATGCATTGGTTTAATTTATCTTAATGCTTGTACTACATGCAAAGGGATTTCAGCAGGTTTTTGTGGATGCACAGACAAAGCTCCTCTCTGTCTCCTACCCTCAGTCTTGAGCTGCTTTAGTTTCCCCAAAGCAGAGGCCAGGGAGGATCTGGGGCATGCAAACGGGACAACGGAAAGCGTTTTTCCATGTGGAATGAACAACTTGCTTGAATAACACCAAAGCTACAGGAGAGAAAACAGAACAGAAAAATCAGCTCATTAATACAGATGTCCTAAAAAGTATGCTTTATGCAGGTTCAGGGTTGTAAGCTGCTGTGTAGTTGTGAGAAGGGACAATGAGGCCCTTCACAGTGGAAAGCAGACAGGATGATCTACCAAAGACATACAGCCCTCCATCAGCACCTGCAGCTGGAAGGACAGGGAACCTTGGCCTGTTCACAATAACTCGTAAAGCCATACCATACAGTAAAATCACTGGGCAGGGGCCTACCTGTCCGTAGAGTTTCCCCGCCATCTCTTTTGCAGCCTGGAGGGTCTGAAAGTTTGTGTTCCAGATGCAGAGAAAGTCTGAAAGTCAACGATGACAGGTTCAGGAACCGGAAACAAGCACAGCTGCAGATAACATATTCAAAGTACAGGGAGGCCGATAAATGGGCCAGACGATATTCCCTCCCTACATTTGCTATCCATTGTTAAGATTTTTTTTTGATTTGTTATCAAATGCTTTTTTTGTTAAGATTAAGGCTGTTGTAACATTTATTATTATTGTTTCATTTTTACTGAAGAAAAACAAAACAAGATTGGATGTCAAAAAAAAATATGTATCAGCTAAAAAAAAAAAACTTTAACGCTGATCAGTAATTTCAGGCTTTTCTTTACTTACAATTTGTGTTGTGTTTTTCATCCATTAGTCATGAAGCATAACACGATCTTTGTAGGTCTTCTATAAGTCAAAATCATGGCTGACATCTCTACTTCCCTCTGCATACCTGCATTAAGGGATGATCAGAGCCTTTTTTTGGCTCTATGGACTAAACACGTCGCCCCCTCCCCCATCTGTAGCTATGCACTTCTGGCTTAAATATTTTTCACCTAACCTACAAGAAAAAGTCAGCTGTTTTTTAATGTTTCTGGTCTGGATGGAGTCATGGGACGGA